AAAAAAAAAAAAAAAAAAAAATATTTTCATTTAGTTAAATTTTAATTTTGAAAAGATCGAAAATATTTCTTGGTATATTTTATTCATTCTAAAATGAATCATCTCTCATTTTACCTACTTTTTCATAAGTTCATTATATAAATCTGCATCACCAGCTGCAGCACTTGCAAGTTTTAATTGGTCGAACACTTGTACACCTGGTTGACCTACAGTTTGTTGACTTTCGCGTATTCTTTTAATTGCTTCAATTAATACAGTATCCTGACTAATAGTTTCACCTCCTCCACGACTACTTTCAACCAATAATGGTTCTTTAATGCCACTATATCCACCCTATAATTTACATTCATTAAATTTTATCAAGATCGTTGAAATTTTGGAATTAAAAAAAACTATTCGGTTAAATTTTATTTTATATAATGAGAAAAAATGTTTAAGGTTTTTTTTTTTTCTGATTTTTCCTTGAACAATTTTATAAATTTGAAAAATTCAATTACAATTTCTAAACTGTTTACCTCAATACCAACAAGATTTAATTGTCTAGTTAAACCTCCAACATTCCGAATTATTCGGGTAAATTCATTACGCTGATTTTCCAGATCATGTTCTGTTTGCTCTCTATGTTGAGCTAATTGTCGACGAACACGTTGTAATTCAGTCCATAAATCCATCATCTTTTTCTGTTCTTCACTCAAATACTGAGCAAGATTCTGTAATAAATTTGAAATATTTGATTTTCTTTTTTTCCTAAATTTTAAAATAATTAGTGTTAATTTTTTATTTTTGAAATTTTATAAATATAAAAATTTTCGTAACCCTTTCACGTGTTTTATAAATGCGTTCATTTTCTCGTATATTTGTTTCAAATTGTTGACGAAGTCGTTCATTTTCATGTAACAATTGATCATTTTGAATACGTTCTTGTTCCAATTGTATCCGATAATCATCAACTCTTTAAATTAGTTTATATTTAACTCTTCTTTTTTTTTTGCTGCATAATTCATAAATTAACAATTAATTAATTAATTAAGTAAAAAGTTTAAATTGGAATTAAAGGATAAAATTAAGTGAAATATTACATAAAAATTTCCATACCTTCTACGTTCCTCATCTAATTTAGCCAAAAGTTGATATTCATTATCATCTAAGCCCTTTTTAGGACTCCATAATGTTTCATCCTTGTATTTTCCATCAGGATACACCGTTGAATCAATCATTGTAAATGATGAGGGTTCATCTGATCGACGTGTTGCTATTCGACTTTCAAGATCAGTAATATGGCGGCGATATTCTTGTACCTAAAATTTAAGAAATTATTTATATATGGGATATGTTTAGCTATATCGATAGGTAAAAAATTAAATGATAAATATTTCACCTTTATAGGTTTTCTTTTTTTTATTTAAAAATATTCAATAGATAAAATTAAGCAAAAATAAGTAAACCTTATGTTGTAAAGCCGATATGAGATCGGAATATTCTTTTTGATGCTCTACATTAGCGTCAATACGTTGACGATATTTATTGAGATCCTCCTGAGTACGATCAAGCCGTGCTGCAGAAACACCTTTTCCGTACGTATCTATTTCAAGCATCAAATCGCTGTCGAATGAATCCGAAACGTGATACACGTTCTCACCATTAGTATCCCTGTATTCATGCCGGAAATCGGAATGCATATTAGATAATCCCTTATTTACTAATGTTTAGCTAACTGTTACTTTCACGTTTGCCTAATATATCTCCTAAAGTGAGCAATATATTTTTTTTTTTTTTTTGAAAATTTTGGAGATCTTGGTAAAAAGTTTCAAAAAAATTAAATGCTTAAAATTATTTTCATAATTTATTTTTTATTGATTACCTTTTAAGCACATAGAATTTTCCGATCTCGGAAAGAAATTATTATTGTTAATGAAGTTTTTCTTCATGACTTCAATAATTTGAAGTTTGTTTTTCCGTTGTAATAACTCAAATTTATTGATATTTATAGGATTTAACTTTTTTTTTTCCAACCTTCTCGAATAACTGAAATGTTTTTAGTCAAAATATAGTACAAGCAATTTCGTTTTTTTTTTCAAATTTTCATCTAGGATTGTATATTCGAAAGATTTACATAATTTTTTTTTGTATCATTCGCGACGCTAACAATAGTATATAATAATTTTTCGGAATTTCTTTCAAGATTTACGAAATTGCCTTCATTAGAGGAAGGAAAAGAAAAAAGCTTAGGCTCAATTCGGCTTCATTTTTTTTCAATTTTCTTTTTTTATTGATATAAAATTGGTTATTTTATTACATTATTACTGCTACTAATATTTCTTTTTTTTTCTTTTTTTGTTTTGGTCTGGGATTTTTCTTATTTTCATGAATTTAATGCGATATTTTTTATTTTTGGTACAATAAATCAACAACTATAATAAATTTCAAATATAGTTTTAGCTCTTGACTTTAATTTTTCCTTCTTTCATATCTTAAAGCATGATTAACATATATACATATATATATATATAACGCAAAAAGTACTTTTCTTTAGAGATATTTTCGGTTTTTTTTTTTTTTATTACCTAACAATGAATAGTATGAATTGGATAAGACAGGGAGAAGGAACGGAATTTTTTAAAAAAATATTTAAAAAAATTTTAAAGAAATTATTAAGAGAATTTGTGATTTATTACTGTTTAAGGATGTAAATTTTCCTGAAATTTTATCATATCATGGAGAGTTTACGGCGGAATTTTTAGTTGCCAAGGATATTTTTATAACTTATCAATGATATCGTATTACAATAGGGTTTTATGGGGGGGTTTCTTTTTTTTTTTCTTTATGAGTTAAATAATATTTTCTTGAACTTTTTTCTTCTCCCTTTTATTTTTGTAAGTTTGATGAAGGGAATGTTTCATTAGTAGCTTAGATGTCAAATTTAAATTTCTAATACGAAAAAAATTTTTTTATCAAGCAATAGTATTAATATGAGCATTTATTAATAATTTTTGGTAAAATTGATTTAATTACTAATGGAACTTACCAATAAAATTCTCCATAATTGGAACGAGATCCGGGACTATCTGGTACGCGACCAATTAATTCAGTGGGTTGAGTGCCAGCACTTACATCAGCACCTTCATCCATTTTTGTTATAACTGCTAGAAATTTTTGTAAATTTTAGAAAAATTTTCATTTCTTTATAAAAAAAAAGAAAAGAAAAAAAAATGCAATGAAACGATTGAAATGGTTCGTTTTATTTTTGCGCAAACAAATAAAATTGTTAATATGCTAAGTAATGTTAAGTAAAAGGAAACAAAAGAAAAAAAAAGCAGATTAGCAATTGTTAAAAATAATTGATAAAAATAAGGCAAATTTTATTCTTGAAGAGAAGAATGGAAGTTATTCTGAAATGGGTTAATGCAATTTATGACTATATGTAAATTCTCTTTCCGATTCTTTCATTTATTTCCTGAGAGGAAAAAAAAAAAGAACTCCACAAATTTTATTTTATCCATAAATCATTCAAATGAATAAAAAAAAAACAAAAACGAGCAACATACATTTATAAGTATTAACTACTTTTTTTTAAAGGTTTTCTTTTTTTTATTTACCGTAATCTTTTGAAAACTAATTTCAGACCATTGATTTTTCTAGAAAGAATAATTCCGAAGAAATTTCATGGATTCTGAAGATAAGAAAGTTATTTTGAAATAAGTTAGTGCAATTTATGACAATATGTGAATTTTCATCCCATTCTTTGAAAATTTCAATAATTAAAATAATCTGAAAGTAATACCTCAACTGTCGTTTTACCTAATTAGTTTAAAATGCTTCATGCAATAATGATCGCATCGCTGTTATTTTTTTTTTCTTTGTTTTAATT